CCCAAGGCAACTCTTGTCCCCAACTTAGCATCTTAGACTCACCCATACGCCACTTCCAGACACCCAGACACCACCCTTTCTTGCCCAGGTCCCTCTGTTACACAGACACCAGAGTCTAGGGAGTTAATATCTAATATTAAAACTGGCACCATCTGCCATTCTCTCCCTTGTCTTGAGGTCCCAGCTTAGTCCCTGAACACCCACTCCAACCTTTTGCCTCCTTTATGACCTGCATGGGGCTAATCTTACTAAAGGCCTTGTTCTCTAATGGCGTTCCTCTCAAGGGTCAGACTTATGAATCCCTCCTGCAGAGCAGATGGAGCCTAAGAATGTAAGCAGAAAGGGTTAGGGCAACTCCCTAGTCCTTTTGTCCAGGGTGCTGGAGTGCCCTTGAGAGTTCAGCTGGTCCTAATTGCAGGGGTTCCCACCACTTGCATGACTATAAAAGCCCTGGAAGGACTCTGAAGGCTTTGGAAGAAGACATGCCTAAGGGGCTTCTGTTATTCTCTATCACAATCATCCTTTGGTTACAGACAACAAATGCAGACGTGATGGACCCATGCCTTCTGTATGTTTGCTCTCCTCCTGGGAAAAAGTTTGAGGGGACCAGGCCAGACAGAGTGCAAGGAGTGAATGCAGAACAAAGAGCCTCAGAGAAGGCCCAGGGACTAGATATGAAAGCAGGGATAGGGAGCTGCACAGTCTTCACCCTGGCCAGGGATGACCAACAGGACCAAGATGGGCAAGGTAGAGATGCATGCGGCTGTGTATGCCCGAGTTCTGTGCCAGATGCAGCTGGTCAACAAAGGAAAGGACTTTGACCTCCAAAGTCTTGCTGGAGTGTAGGTAGCCTGACCCCTACAGCAGGAGGCATAAGGGATCACATCCCATTCAACAAGGAAGGTGTAGAGAGCATTTGGAGGTCCCCACAAAACCCCCGTCTTGAGGCTAGGCCAACACAGCAGAAAAGAGGCCCTCTGATTTCACTCACTCTCCTACGCCCAGGGCTACCCACTACCAAAATGCAAGAAGTGAGACTAGACATATTGAATCCCACTCTTGCTCCAGGAATCTCTGCTACCAGTCCCCATGGGAGGGCACTTATCTATTGCCTACTGGCTCCTGTGGGATTTAGCTGCTGCCACCAGGCCTAGGGACCTCAGCTCTGCTTTACTGACCAGTGGCTGTGCTGAAAATAGCCTCTTAATCTGAAGCTCAGAATAGCAAAGGGCCCAGACACCAGAGGTCCCCTGCCCCACCCCACCCAGCCCTAGGAAACAGCATGGATAAAAGAAAGCTAAATTCAAAGCCTCCTCTTTTTCCTTCCCACCCCTCACACAAAGCTGATTTCTAAACATTGTCTCCTAATCAGTGTCTTAAACACTATCATGTTACAGATAACTTCTTTAAAGGGGGAGATTCATATCTCATATATTGCATGACCTTTAGACCTGTCATAGACTTGTAAAAGGAAAACTGTAAAGAGGGTGTGAAATCTCTGGAAAATGGCTTGCAGGTGCCCCTAGGGGGTGCCATCCTTCCCAGTGGGGATGAAGGATGCAATACCTTTCATCCGAGTAGCACATCTCTTGCTGGGCTCACAGGGATAGGGGCCATGAGTGAGGTTAGAAGGGTCGGTCCTGGCCCCTGGCCCATTTAACAGCTAAAGCCTATCAGACTTGGGGGACACCAGCTAATAGTTTTTTCACCCTCCACTCTAACATGGATCAGCAAGTCTGTGTCATGTTGTGCATGTCACTCTCATTGCCAGAATGCTGCGAATGAAGCCAGGTACAGCAGATCCCAGTCCTGGTCCAGGAAACCCTCCTCCAGGTCACCACCGGAAGGCACCTATCTTCCTCTCTGTGCTTAATCAGCAGTTGATTAGTCCACAACCACTCTGATGCTAATTCCTGTCTTTTAGTCTGTATTCCAAGCTGGCTCTGAAGAGACTTTCCCCAGGAAACCCATCCAAGTCCATGACAAGATCTGTCGCCAAGGTGTGCCACCACCATATCTGTGCTCTGGCACCTTTACCTACATGTTTTTCTAATCATATACAGTCATTTGTGTTTGGGATCCATGACCTAAGATCCAGGGATCTGTAACAAGTTCAGAACAAGGACTTGACATCATAGTGGTTTTAACAGTTTAATAGTTTAATAGATGATAGTAAAATGAAAACCTCAATGGTGGTCTAAATTAAGCACTGTAAGTGCTCGGGGTATGAGCTAGTGGGACAGATCTTGTCCAGTAAGCTGCTCTGAATTCAGAATATCTTATTTCAGCCTCGTTTTCAAATTCTTTTTTCCCCATTTGGGGCATGGTTGGAGACTGAACCTTGTATTTCACACATGCTAGGCAAGCACCCTACTGCTGAGTCATAACCCCTGACCCCTGAGGACTTCTTAGAAGCCTTAATTTTCCCAAGAATTATTTTCATTTTTATTTATGAATATGGGAGTGGTTGTGCCACATGTATGCTGGCATTGGATTCCCTGAAGCTGGAGTTACAGGCAGTTGTGGCTGCTCAAAGTGGGTGCTGGCAACCCAGCTTCTGTCCCCTGGAAGATTAGCAATCACAGTTAACTACTGAGTCATTCCTACATCCTTAGAAGCTATAAGCAGTAACTGAACTGTGTACAGAAGGCTACTTGCCTCATCTGTTCAGGCTGCTATAAAAAAAATTCCATAGACTGGGTGACTTACAAGCAACAGGAATTTATTGTTCACAGTTCTGGAGAGTAGAAGAGGGACAGGTGTCAGTAGATAGGATGTCTTCTATGAGGATCACTCCAAGTTCAGAGGCTGTTCTTTTTAGCCATGTCCTCAGAGAGAAAACGGGGAGCTGGCACTTTAGGATTTTCACATGAGTTTTGAAGGATAAAAATGTCCAGACGATTTTTAAGGAAGAGATAACTTAGGAAGTCATGGTTTGAAGTGGCTTCCCTCCAGGAGGAGCATGTGACATGAGAGAGGAAGACATGGGAGGGATGCAATTTCCAGAGGAAGCCTGGGAGCCCAGCATGCTAATTCTGAGGAACTGGGTCACTAACGTTCCAAGTCATGAGTTCCTAAACATCTTTGAACTTGTAAATCTGCATGGCTAAAAAACAACTTGTATTGGCACCCATTCTAAGCATCCTTCAACTTATGACAGAACTTTCCCCTTTCAAGCAGATGGCATAGAAATCACAGGTCAATCCACTGTACCAGAAATAAGGGTGAACACACTTTTGACAGATGCACCTTCTGTCTCCCAGTGCTGACTCAAGAGTTGTTAGGGGCAAAGCCAGAGTCAAACAGATCATTCATTTATTAACTTGTTCATTCATTACTTCTTTCAGCAGACACCTGTTGAGTGCCTACTGTATGATTGCTTTGTTCTAGATGATGAGAATACTGCAGGAAACAACACCAGAATTCCCTTCCTTCTAGTACTGAGAGCTACAGTGAACAAGACAAGTCTTTATACTACTTAGTATGCAGGATGGGGAAAAGTGGTCAAGAGTGGTGTATGGTGGTGGTGGTGGTGGTGGTGTGTGTGTGTGTGTGTGTGTGTGTGTGTGTGTGCATGTGTGTGTCTCTGGGTATCTGTGTGTGTGCACATGTATCTGTGTCTGTGGGTGTACATATATGTATGTGTGTGTGTGTATGTGTGTGAATGTGTATCTGTGTCTGTGACTCTGTGCATGTGTGTGTGTGTGTGTGTGTGTGTGTGTGTGTGTGTGTGTGTCTGTGTCTGTGTGTATCTGTATCTGTGCAAAAGTGGCAAAGTTAAGTTGAAATTGGAAGTGAGGAGACTAGGCCAGACTCTAAATTCCAATTCTTGAGTCACACAGCATGCTCCATGACCATGCTCCCTAAGCAGGCATGCAGAAGACTTGAAGGGACACAAGATCAGATCTAGGGGGGGGTCACACGATTTTGTTCTTCCACCACTACTCCAAGGTAGTGGCCTTGGGAACTCATCAACCTTTCCAAGCCTACTCTTCAGCAGTAGGATGCAAATTCACTGTCTGTGTCCTACAGTGCTGTGGGGACAGTATGACCAGAGGTGAAGTGTCTCCTTGAGCCCTTGTTCTGAGTACCCTCCAGTTACCACTTCCTGCCCAACTCAGGATCACGAGGAAGGCTGGCATCTGGGAATCCTGCAGAACAAATGATGTATTTCTATTTCCTCTTCTCGCAATTCAGTGCGAAGACCCAGAGAACAGGATGGCTGACTTGCTAGCCCCCCACTCCCTTAGTTTGGTTTCAGCCAGGCCACTTTTCCACTTAGTCCCTTGAGGCCTGGGTTTACATTGGCCCAGAGAAGGTTAGGCTTGTAACCCAGGCAGAGGCTGAGAATCTAGCTGGGCATTTTGGCAGCCATCTTGCATTCCCAGCTTGGTTATGTCCAGCATATTGACCCAGCAGGAAAAGGGCTTTGGATGCAGCCTGAGCCATGTCTACCAAGTCAAGCTTGTGCTTAGCCTTGCTGCAGACTCGTGGCAGAGAAGCACATTATTCATTCGCCCCTGAGATTTCACAGATAATCTATCTGACTAGCTCAAGCAGTGACTATGAACTTTAAATGCTACCAGGAAATAAGCTGGCCACTTACCACATACCTTCCCTCAAGACTGATGACACTGCATTAACACACTATTTTAAAATGAGAAAACATGTCCAAGATCACAGCTCCTAGTTGAGGGACCTTAGATTGAATGCAGGGTTGCTTGCCAGAAAAATCAGGGGTGTTGTGCTCATTTGCTTCCATGAAGAGAACTAAAAACAGAGCCAGGAACAGCCCTGTTCATAAGGGTCCCCTTATCCCATGAGTGAAGCTCACCATTTTAATGCATGGCTTTCCAAGAAAGCACATCACAAGGGCTGGGAAATCTGACAAATTATAACTAAGCTGTTCATCTCTGAGAAGCAAAGGGAAACCTTGAAGACACCTGTGAAAACCTTCTCAATACAGGCCAGGGGTCACCTGTGCCTCAACATGGAGCCCTGAATACTACGGCCATTGGGGTTTTCCTTAGCCACCTACTAACTGTGTGAAGTCATATGCCTGGAAAGATGGTGGCGCTCCCGGAAGTACTCATGACAAATGGGACAAGTGAGAACTTCCTCTCTCCGTTTCTTACAGTGTGGATCGGGGCCCACATGCTCCCTTTTGTGATGGGAGCGCATGTGGAGGACCAGGTCAGCTGTCAGACGGAAGGCAAGGTTGCACTTAGCACACCAGTTCTGAGTGGACAGGCCTGGGGAGGAGAGGGTGGGAGGCAAGAGAGCCCGAGAGGCTGAGGCAGAAGACGTTGAGGATGTGGGTACTTGCACCTGGGTGTGATCCAGCCAGGATGTGGCAGACCCCTGGAAAGCATTACAGAGCAGAATGTTCTGTGACAACATGTGCAATCTCCAGAAATCACCCATGAGCTTGAATGTGGACAGCTGAGCCCATCCTGGGATGTCCATAGTGGTGATGAGTCCTGAGAGCTCCCATGGGCCTTCTGCATTTCCTGCCAGAAGCATAGGGGAGCACCTAGGCGTCTCTGCTGGGCGCTTGGCTGGCTTGCTAAAAGCACTTCTTTGCTCATTCTGGGCTGTTCCACGCCAGACTGAGCACACTGTGCTATCCACTGAGGCTCTGGGGAGACCTGAGGGCAGCTGCTCAGTGCCAAGACAGACTTCTGGGTCCTCTGGCTTCCTCTTCTGGGCTTGAATGTCCCCTGGCCTCTTCTGGAGACATGGCAGCTCTATGAGGGTACCCTGCTTCTGCTCTGTAGACACAGAAGAGGCCATGTCTTGGCCATCCTTACCTGCAGTGGCTCCAGAGTCCAGGAGAGCTATTTTCTTGAGCAGTCCTGGCTGGATCTGCTTGGATTCTGTGAACCTCCATCTTTTCCCAACTGAAGCACTCAAAGAAGTCCCTTTGCCCTCAGCCATGTGATCAGCAGGGCCTGACAGGCTAAGCAAGGTGGGTGCTCCAGCAGTCATTAGTCTATAGGGCTTTGGAGTTCCAAAGGACTGGTCCCTACCCTCAGGAGGAGCTACAAGACTGGAAAGTTCCCAGTGAAAACTGAACAGGATGCCCTTGACCACTGGTCTCTGCAGAAAAAGAGAGCAAGCAGCTGGTCGGTCAGTGCCCCATGTAGGCTGACACCAGACAAGCCCACTTTTTTTGGCCTTCCTTTGAATGTCTGTGAAGTGGGAGCAGGGTCATCTGAGGAGAAATGGAGAAAGAATGAGCTCAGATAGTTTAGACTCTAGCAGCAGGCAGAGACAAGCATCTTCCAGGAAGAACCCAGGAGCAATGGCACCAGATGACTAAGCCATGGCCCCATGCAGGGAAAGGCATTGACACCAGAGAAACACCTACTGTGAATAACAAGCCTGCCTCAAAACCATGCAGGCCAGAGAGATAGGGAAGGGAGCCTGCTCTGAGGCAGAAAATGGGAGATCCTGGACATCTACTAAGAGCCCTGCAGTGAGAAAAAAAGAAGCATCAGCTCCTGCTCCAGGAGTTCTGTCTGGCCTGAGTAGTCAGAGCCTGGGGGAAGTTACAGCATCCAGAAAAGGCAATGTGAAAGGCTCACTGATTCATTATTCTGGCTCCTACGGTCTTCCTTTCCTTCCCTGTCTCCTACACCATCAGCGCCTTTCCCTACATCACATGCCCAGCGTGCTCCCACTTGTCCTTTTGGTTCCCCAGGGCCAGTCTTAGACTCCTTGTCCCTGTGTTCCCCCTATTCCCATACAAGCCTTGTATGCTCAGGCTGCCTTTCCATGTGGGCCCTAAGCTGGCTGAGACCACACAGTGGCCACTGCTTAGTTTTATGCATTTGTTTTCTGCTCTGGTCCCTGATAGGGAGTGCTTTCTGTGGACTTCTTTGGGAGTCTGGGGATGGATAAACCAGCCAGGGATGGGGAGGAAAGATGGATATTTGTTGTGGGGAAGCTTCATAAAGACCTTACTTTCGCCTCATGTAGATCTGACCATCCTCTGAGTCACAAAAGGAAAGCTATAGAAGATCACAATACAAGTGGAAAGGATGTACATGGGTACCCACAGCGGGGTGCAGCAGCAGAGGACAGAAGCCCCAGAGTACCAAGGGATGCCAGTGTGTGTGTGTTGGGGGGTTCCTATGGATGCTCTTCCCACACTGTGTGAGCTAACCATCAAACACATGATTAGAAGTGGCTTTTGCTGACAATGCAGATAATAACTCGGTATCGTTTCCTTTGAGAGCTGCAGATCTCCCCTGATGTGCAGATCTCAGGGTACCTCAGGAGCCTGCCCATCAAGCAAAGGAATGGGCTCCATCAACACCATGCCTTCCATCCCCTGCCTTAGCCATCGTATTGTCCAGCTGTAGCTCTAGCCACAGACTTCCATGGGCAGGATGAGTGTCACTTCTACTCTGCTAATCTTTCAGGCCCAGAAGAAACAGCCTATGCCACTGACTGCCCTCTGCAGCCCCCAGAGGGCACCTAGGTGAGGAATGCAGCAAGCAATCTGAGGTACTGTATAGACCAAAATGTTCCTAAGCCAGCCAGAAGGAGGAAAAGATTATTGCTTTTTGGGACAATAGAGCAGATATCTGATCATTTATACTGTCTATCATCTTCCCAGCCAAGTTCAATTTCCAGTATGTACCTACTCCCGAGGTTCTCCACAGCTACTCAGTCTCTGTCTTGCTCCAGTTCAGCTCTCCAGCCATCCCTCTGATGGTAGGACCTACGCTGCCCTATATACTAATAAAATTCTTTCTCTGACTTAGCCAAAGCTGATGCCCATCACTTGTATCCAAAGCACCGTGCTCTTCTAGAAGTGACAACCCAACCCAACTCTGAGGGCTTGCCTCCAGGACTCTATCAGGGAGGATGTCAACACAACACACACTCACATGTGCACACATGTGAGCAAGCACACACAGAGGCTACCACCCACCCAGTGGCACCAGTGTCTCAGCACCATCCCAGCATCTGTCATGAAGCACAGGGGCAGCCACTGCCGCGTTAGCAGACCATAAACATTGTCACCTGCCAGCTTGACTTCTCTGCAGTTCTAATGTGTTTCCACCCACATTAACAGTGCTGGCTGGCATGCTGCTTTTAATTCTTGTTGTCAGGCCTGCTAGGCCACTTCAGGTATTGAGGGAACAGCAGGGGCTCCTGTAGGCGCAAGTGACCATAGGGCTAGAGGAACACTTGGCAGGATAGATGTGGGCTGTGTCTGGCCCTTGCTGCACACCGAGGCACAGTGGGCTCTCCACCTGCCCTCGTTCTTGTCTAGAGCTTTAGTCTCCCTGCTCTCCACTCACCAGACACACTCACTGTTGATCCATCCCACAACCAAACCCACTCACTTCTCCTCTGCCCATGTCATCTGTCCACTAGTCCCACACCAATGGACATCTACAGGTGAGCTGGCTTCTGACTATGCCCTAGAGGTACCATGGTTTAGAGGTGACAACATTCTATGTGGGAGGCACATAGGAGATGATGTGAACAGCTCCCTAGGAGAGGTCTTCACTGTCCTATTTCCACTGGGCTAGGCATCTGCTTCTAAAACTAAGAAACAGAACCTAATCATCTCCTTCTACAGTCCTGGCAGAACCACAATGCTGATTGGACCAGCATTCTAGAGTTTTCATCATTAGAAAGACTTAATCTGAGCCAGAGTGACCCAGAAGTGATTAGGCTTCTTACTTCCTGGGACACAGGGGCTAGCTGGGCAGCTGCATCATCCCAGTGCCTTCTGCTACCCTGTGCAGGGAGCACACAGCACATGCATCTTCCACTCCCCCTTTCTTTCAGAACTCCCCAAAGAGATTAGACCAGTATCAGCTCTTTGAGGAAGTTCAAATACAGTAGTTGCCCAAAGTGCAGAAAACGGGAGCTTTGACACACTCTCCTCTGACAAAAGGTTTTGCACAGCCACTATGACACAAAACATAGACACAGTCCCCGCTTGTGCAGTTCTGAGTCCCCAAGTCCGTTATCATACTGCATACTGCCAGGAAGAAATGCATCACCTCCGTAATGTTCCTAAAGCACAGACCCAGTGGGACTGCTTCCAGCATCCCACATCGGGTTGGACAGGATTTTGAGAGTGCAGAGGTGACAGCAGCCACAGAATAACCCTGAGCAAAGCCACCAGTCCCTCAGAGCCCCATGTCTCTACCTATAAAATGGGCTAAAACCATGTCCATAGTTCATCACTGAGCTCTCAGATATAACTAACTGGGATAAATTTCTCAATAATAATTGGTCTATTTGAATCACCGTGCATAGCTTCTATTCCATGAGCTCACACAGATACATATATGCATTTATACAGGCACATTGTACACACACACACACTTAACACATACACTTAATACACACAAATACACATATACTTTCATACAAACACACACTAATGCACATATGCTTGCACAGACATATATTCATACACATTTATGTGAATACTCCCATGATGCACTAAAACACACAAGTCCTCTGCCTCTCCTCTAATCTCAGATACTTCTCCAGAGTCAGCTGAGTCCAGACAACATTATACCTAAGGATGTCCAAGACCCTGCCTCAAAATCCCCTGATCTCACAGCACTTGCTCCCACCTCTGCAGAGACCCTATGGTGCCACTTTCATGGTCCCGGCAGCATTTTCCAACAAGTTAATCCCAGGAACCAGACCTTTCAGTAATATACAAGCAGATGTGACTGTCCTCTTCTCAGGAACATGCCGGACAGAAAACTGCTCACCAGGATGCTTCGTTATATAAAAAGTAAAGTGGTGATAATCTACTACCTAAGTGTGTATAGACCCACAATTACATTCATTCGATTTCACTTAATTTTCATAAAAAATGTAAAGTGTATTGCACTTCTCAACCCAACATTGACTGCTAACCAATCCCCCATGTGATTTTGCTCGACTCCACAGGGCAGCTTTTGACACTGCTGTGAATCTGGAGAATGCAGATATTGAGTTAGATGTCCAATCTAACTTCATGTCCCATCGATGCCAACAACCCAATCCTTAAAAAGAAGGGGAAGAGAAAGAAGGGAGAAATAGATAAATAAATAATAATGAGGAGAAATGGAGCAGACAAAAGCAAACTAAGTAGAGGAAGGTACCAAGAAGAGAGTAATTAATGTGTGTGTGTGTGTGTGTGTGTGTGTGTGTGTTTATGTGAGTGTACAGATATTACATGTGCATTTGTCCATACATGCCTTTGTATATGATTGTGAGCATGTGTATGTGTACATGTGGAATCTTTGCCTGCCTCCCTGAGACTACCTCTGGCTCACGAATCAGCATTACCTGGAGTTAATCGTACAGGCAAGTACACTGGATTTCCTATAAAGCCCATCTCAGGCCCTACTCCAGCTTCTATCCTCCATGAAAACTGTCAGATGGAAGCCTCTCACATTGGAATATAGTGTGAGGCTGTGTGGCTTGCTCCTGCAGAAACCCTGTTGTGTCCATGTGCTTACCTCTCCTCCTATAAGGGCTCCTAGCCCTTCCTTTAACATTAGCATCTTTCCTAGGGCCTAGGTCAGACTTCCGAGTCTCATCCATCTCCAGATGCATCTACATTCCCTCACTTCTATGCCTCCCAGATGAGATGACCACCACAGATGTAGGAGCCCATCTCCAAGCCTCTCTGCATCCCAGCCACAGAGTTCTGTGGGTCGGAAGTCTGAGCCCTCACACAGCCCTCTGCACCTCTCACCCGCACATCCACCACCCTGAGCGCCTGAGGCCTCACTCCATGTGCAGCTGTTTTCTGGGCAGAGGGGAACTGTCCCTTGCCCTGTCTCCTCCCACAGATGCCAGCTGCCCTAAGCAGGGATGGATCTATGAAGTCCTTGTTCCTTGCTCTGCACCTCATGTGAAAAGATTCTTTGTTGTCCTGGGCTGTCCTCAATGGCCTTAGTTCATCCTAGGCTCTCCATTCTGATGCTCTTTTGGGGACTTGTCACTCCTTCATTGTGTGTGTTCCACTAAAGGGCTTCTCTTTTCCTTGGCTCCTTTCACTCGTGTCCAGAAGGCACCCTCTGAACTGCACAAACATGCTTCAGAACCACTCCATGTTCTTCTCTCCGGAAAAAGAAAAAGAATTAGATGCAATTCCAAGACCCTCCCACCATTCTTAGAGACCCCGGATCATATGATGATCCTGTGATCTAAGTGCTTTCTGACACCAGAATCCCCAAATCAACAAGGTAGATATCTTACCATGGCCCTGCAATATTCAGTACTTCTCCCT